CCCCTAGAGGACGTGACGTCCACCCCCCATTCTATTGTGTATTCCTTGGATACTCTATTGATCTTTATATTTTCAATTGTACGATTCTCTTGCTGGGGCGCCAGCTAAAATCTTGCCTATGGCTGCAAATTCTGTGATTGGATGTTGCAGTGGCAGTGCGCCAAGGTTACGCAGAGCGTCAAACAGCTCTTTGAAATGGAATGAAACCACGGCAGACTATCCAAAACTGGACTCGAACGGGTCCAGCCACACCCCCACAGAACTACACATGCTGGCTAATTGTGTTTCGCAAAATGTTCTATGGCACGTCTCTAATGGAAATTGTAGTTTTAAAAGACAGTTTTGTATTTCCCATAATTAGAAGTTTTATGGTCATGTGGGTATATTATACCCACATGACAGCTAAGGTCAGAAGAGCTTTATTTAACAGCTGATCTTATGTCTGTGATCCCTCCTGTTGTTAATTGATAAGCCTGAAACATGCACTTGTCAAGGTTCAGAGGCAAATTTTGCAAATATGGCAGTAGCCATCGATCATTTTAAGATAAGATATACTTTAATTGATCCCAAGTTGGGAATATTTTTTCGCCGGTCAACATGTCCGTTAAAGTTTAAACCTTCCGGACACAATTTGAAAAGTGCCGGTCAAAGGTCTTCTTTGTTATTTATTGAGCTTTAAAACAAATTGATATGATTCGATATTAAACAAACTAATAATAGTAGATTAACTATTCAAAAGTGTACAGTAACTTACAATAACACAGGAATAATAAACGGAGCGCTCTCTCCCTCTCCTGACAGCCCGTCAGTATCATGCAGCATCGCGGATCAGTAATGAGTCACCCGACAGTAAAACTAAACATATCTATAACTAGATTAGGTAGTTTGAGAGGTCATTAAAATAGCTACGTGTGATATTCTAACCTGAAGTGTGTGTTTTGTTCCGCTCACCACTGCAGGTGATCATGCAGAGCTGCGTGTCGACTCGTCAGCAGCAGCTGATCTCTCTCTCCCTTCAGATTGGACTTTACTCGCGTTTATGTCCATATCGATCAGATCTAGTTAGTTCTAGCTAATGATAGGACTTCCTGCTTATTAAAAGACACCTAAACAATAAGCGTTACTTTGTTACATTTGTTATCACCATAAATGTGTTCCGTGAAAGTAAAGCAAGTTCATAATTAGCTAGGTACATCGTGAGGTAGGCTAATTATGACGCACACCTGCACACTTGCTAGCCTGTTCCATTCTTCGTTCTCCGAATGCTAGGAAGGATTCTTGCCTAGCCTCTGAAGGACCTGACTCGGAAGGACATGTCCGACCAAGGAAGCGTCCTCGACTTTGAGAAACGGCTCAGGTTTCAAGTTCAAGCCCTCTATGGCATTGCAGAAGCTAGCTTTCCAGGACAGATACTTTTCTGGCCTGTTATCTAAACATCTTTAGCCTTCGTAGGTGCAGCTTCAGCCTTTGCACATGATGACGAAGAAGTGTTGCATTGTGCACTAACCTCTGAAGCGCTAATGTAAAATCAATAATAGAGATACACAGTCCCTGATAAAAAGGCATGTGCTCAAGGTAACAATCGGGCCAAGGGTAAATTAACTCGCTACATATCAATGACTTTAAACATGACATGTTATCATTTGGTTTCCGTGGCATTGAAACAGTTCCTCTGAAGATCAAATTGATTAAATACTTAATAGAAGTATACTGGATAGTTAATTTGCAAATTGTTCCTGAAACTCTGATGATATGATAAATGGTTTAGTATTTTTAGGAGAAACAGTGACACATAGCCATCAGTCGTGTGCAGGCCTCTGGTTAATCCTGTTTGGACGTTCACACTTTCCTCCTCCCCACTGTTCCCTGCACTGTGAACAACCACACACTATGGAACACCACTGTTGACTCCTTAGCATCTCCTTCCACCAGCTGTACTTATGACCTGCGTTCCTGTTGAGCACACCTCCATTGTCCTGTCCTTCAGGTGTACTTCAAGCGAGATGGGGAGCTGATTGATGTGGTGCCAACTGTCCAGGTTTCCTCCTCAGTGGAAGACAAAATAAATGGCCTAAGGCTGGAAAAGAGCTCGAGCTCCCGGGCTCTCACCGGTAGAGACCTAGATGACACCAAAGTCCAGAAGTCCCTGTCCCTGCTGGAACTAGAAGGGAAGCTGGCTCGGCTGGGCCAGGACGGCCCCCAGGGCTCAGACAAGGGCCAAGAGCAGGAATCCGAATCAGACCCCAAGACAACCACCGAGGCAATCCCTGAGACAGTGGTGAGCCGGGAGTTTCCCCACTGGGTCCAGAGCAGCGACCCGCTCTACCACTTCCAGCAGCGGCAGCAGGCGGCAGGGAACGGCACCATGGAGGTTAGGGCCATGCTGACCTGGAGCCTCAACCCCCAGCTGGACAATGAGGCTCTGTTCAGCTGTGAGGTGCACCACCCGGCTCTGTCCATGCCCATGCAGGCCGAGGTCACACTGTGTGAGTCCTGCACACACACACCGCCTCACATCAAACGTTATACTGTCAGCTTTTAAAGCAAAAGGGACCCATGATATCAACTATATAACAAAAACATCATTTTATTGATCATTTTTAAATGCAATCATTTGCATGAGAGCAGACCTGGTACTCATGACGTAGCTCTGAGCACAGCGACCCTCTACTTAGTTGACTTACTATACTTGATTTTTTTACAAAATGTTTCCTGTTTAGCTTAGAGGGGGTTGGAATTATGAGTGACAGGCCTTACATAGTCATGACACCTTCAGGAAGTGCAGGTTTTCCGAGAAGTTTGGCTGAAGACATTTTATACACAATACTCCTGAGGGTGGCAGTAAAACAAAGATGATGCCCATTGACAAGGTTCTATTTAGTGAGCTGTTTCGGTCAGGAAAGAGTTCCACAGTAGTAGAGCATTGATGGAAAGCTAAACTAGTTATAGTTAGAATAAATATGCAGAGTGTACTGACATGTCAGACGAAACCCCGGCAGTCCAGACACTGATGATGTGCCGTTTCAAGAGAAATAAAGAGATGGATACCCAGAGCAAAAACACTTTTTGGAGATCAAATCCAGAGCTACAAAGAACTAACCTGGGTAATGAATCCATGAACTCAAAGGAAAGTGAGAACAATGAACAGTAAGTGGGTCAGGCCAAGCCTTGAGCAAAGTTAGTATGGCTTCACTTCACTGGGTGAACCAAAGTTACATGACAGAAGGGAGACATCTCCAATCTCATCTCAGCAGGGCGGTACATCCTTATAGTGTGGGTTGACAACTTTTTATAGATAACATGTACAATTCACAATTACCTGTATTCCCACAAATGAAATGTGAAGCATGTCTCACTGAACATCATCAGTCATACATGCCGTTTGACTTTTCTATCAGCTACTCCCAGAGGACCCAAGCTGTCGATGAGCCCCAGTAAGGCCAGGGTGGGGGACACCGTGCGGATCACTGTCCAGGGCTTCAGGCTGGGACCTCCTGCCGTGAGTTTCCTACACGGGGGGGCTATTTGAACAGGGATCACTCTGTCAAGTTCATAAAAAGTCTCCAGAGGGCCATGATAAAAGATATGGGTTGCGGACAAATAGGCTTTTTTGCTTAGGTTCCTAACTGAGGCCCCGTCCACACGGAGACGATATTAGTTGTATCCGCTAACGTTCTCTATCGTTTGCTGACAGTTTGCTGTCTCAAAGTCTCTCGCATTGCAAAAGAAGGAGGCACTCAAAGTAAATGCGTAAGCTGATCTAACCAGTTAACACAATAACCAGTTGAACACTGGCATACAAACTAATATAAAGTGCATACAAATACAACTCACCATTACGCTGAATTAGTGGGAGCCCTGAGCTTGTGTCTCTGCAACAACAAGCCGGTCCAATCTAGGGGTAATGGGAGACAATGACACCCGAAGTGTGTTCCTTATGTCCAGTCTACTCTGTAAGCTATTTAAAGAAGTTTGTGTTGCACTCATCTTTTCCAGCTTGTATTTAGCGGGCCTTTTTGTGGTTTTAATACAGGCCCGGTTCTACGGGGGTGCATAAGGGTGCATTGCACTCTCAGTTGAAAAATGAAAAAAAAGTAGAAAAGTGAAAATATATATATATATATAGATAATGAAATGGTAAAAATAAACGGGGTGCTCTCTTTTCCTCTCCCTCTCCTGACAGCCGGCCAGTCTCGTGCAGCTCGCTGAACCTGTAATAAGTGACCCAAAAGTAAAGAATAAATATATGTATAACTAGTTTAGCTAGTTCCAGAGTAGATAAACTAGCTAAGTGTGTTAGGTTTAAAGGCCCTGACACACCAGGCCGAAATCGGCCGTTTTCGTTAGTCGGACGACGAAGCGTGCCCTGTCGCCCAAACTCATTTTGGTGTGTCCCGCACCGTCGGTCGTGACAAGCCTTATTTGGCCTTTCATGGCCGACGCACGGCCGATTCAACATGTTGAATCGGCCGTGCGTCAGCCACAAGCAGTCGGACAAAGAAATCACTCTGATTGGCTGTTCAGCTAGCATGAGAAGCGAAACGGTTTCTTGAGAATGTCTTCCACAAGCAACACTCCAATGGCTGATAGCTCCAGTACCGCACGAAACATGTTTTCGATGGACGAGAGTGAAAATGGAACGCACACGCTATTTGTAGTTTGTTTAGATCACGCAGTCTGTTCTTGCTGCCGGTAAGGAGAGT